GCGCCGAGGACGTTCACCTGCGAGCGCGGGTGACGGGCCGAGGGGAGAGCCGCCGCCGGAGGGAGGGGGAGGGTAGAGAGGAGGGACGCCATCCGCCAGCCTTGTCGCCTGACCCCGCGGGCCCCTCCCGCGCCACGTCCCGCCCCTGTCCCCCGCCCCCCGGCAAGGGTCCCCGCCCGCGGCTGCGGCGGTCCCACTCACAGTCTCTCCTCCTCGCCTCCTCCTCCTCCTCCGCTCGGCGCGGCGGCGGCGGCGGCGGCCATTTTCCGGACGGCTTTTACCACAACCCTCTCTCCGAGAGGAGGGAGCGCGCGCGCCGCCGATGCCGGGACCCCGCACGGCCGACGTCGCGCCCCGCCCTCCCGGCCAGCCTGCGCTCTGCTGCACCTGCGCACCCGCGCCCCGCCTTCGGCGCCGCCGCAACCCTGCCCTCCATTGGCTGTCGCGGCCGGGCTGGGCCGGGGTCTCGGCGGAGGCGCCCTCCATTGGCGAAAGTTCCTGTCTGTTTGGGCGAGGGAAAAGGGGGCGGACCCCTCTCCGGCAGCCGATTGGTTCCCGTCGGCCGTCATTTGGGGACCAGAGGCGGTTTGAGCACCGAGAAACTGGTTTAGTGGGCGGAATTTGAACGTTAAGGATTAATGGGCTCTCGCGGCCGGTAGGGAACGAGGAGGCCTCAGCTCGGGGCAGCCGTGTGCGCAGCCTACCGAGCGGCCCGCCTCCTGTGCACCTAGCATGCTGCCACGCGCGTCGCGCTACCTGGGCGTTTTGTCACCATCACCACCTTCGGTGGCAGCAGTGAAGCCGCCTGCCCCGGAGCCCGACGTGATTTGAGGCTGGGACTTGGCTTAAGAGCGGTGGCATCTTTTACGCGAGCCTGCCAGGCGCCACATTACCCCAGGGGAAGGAACAAACTGCTTCTCTCGGAACTCGGGCGTGGGAAGCGGGTGCGACCTGTCTTGTCACCTTGAGCAGCTGGCTCGATGGAGGTGTACAGCTGGGCAGGGAGATCGCAGAGGACTCAGGGCTCGGCACGGCTTGTGAGACACAGTTTGGGAGCCAAGACCCCGCAGGTCACCTTCCGGAAGGAGTAACTTGGAGCTAGTGTCCAGCCGTTCTGTTTCGGGAAAATCCTGAGTACAAGAAGAGTCTGGGCCACTAGGGTGCTTGGGACAGAAATGCTTGTTAAAGCGACCTACCCTGATACCAATTAACACCCGATACACCCAAGGCCTCTCGTGCCCATGGTATGCTTAACAAGAAGGTTTCCAGGTCGGCATGGGCATCCCATTTCTTTTTGAACACCTGCATGTGCCAGGCACTGAGCCAGGCTCTGAGGGAGCAGTACCAAGTGAGACAGCAAAGTGCCATTCTTGGGGGGACGATTCTTGCTGAACATCCAGATAAGTGCAGCGTGACTGACACAAAGCGAAGGACTCCAGATACCCACCTCCCCACTGCCTTTGCCCTCAGGCACTTGCCCATGTGGCGGTTTGAGGAAAGAACATTTTGAGCAATTTCAAGGTCCCCAGCAGGGACTTTGCCCAACGAGTTGGGGACCAATAAAGAAGGCCCATGTGGCTGGACAGTCGTAGGGAATGAGGCTTGGAGAGGCTACCTGGATGCACATGCCAGCCCAGGTGGAGCACACCTGTCATCCAGAAGAAGAGGTCGAGAGGGAGAGAGCAAGAGGAAAGAAGAGAAGAAAAAGAAAGAAGAAAAGGAGTATGAAATCTGTGGAGAGCTAGGGCTCCAGCACAGACACTGAACTGTCCTGAACAGTTTCTCCTTCGTCCTGGCCTGTGGGGCTGTGACCCACTCTCCACAGCCCTGTGTGGCACACAGGACAGCCATGGCAGCGAGATAGACCCATCTGCTCAACAGCACATTAAATCAATCCACAATAGCTTTCTAGCCATTCTTTTTTTTGTTTTGTTTTGTTTTTCTCCGTTATCGGGAACCGAACTCACAACCTTGCGCTTGCCAGGCAGGTGCTTTGCCGCTGAGCTAAATCCCCAGCCCTCTAGCCATTCTTTATTGGATACAAGCCAACCAGTGAGGATCATCAGAAATGAGAAGAAATCCTTCAACTTGAAAAGCAGGCGAGATGAGCACAGAAAACAAATGTAGTTCGAATACTAGAAAATGCAGTGCATATATGAAAACATTTTTAATTAGTATATTCAGAAAACTGAAAGCAATATTGTATCCATAAAACAAGAACAGAATACTGTGTAAAAAGAGCAATCAGAGAACAAGAAAGAATTCTTAGAAATTAAAATATGCTTATTGGGTTGAGAGTAGACCTCAAAGGGGAGAGTGCCTAGCATGTGCAAGATCCCATGGTTAGTCCCCAGCACAGCAAAAAATAATTATTGACGTTCAAGTTCCAACAGAAATTTTGTAAAATAAAATTGAAGAAGCTGCACCAAAAATATAGCAAAACAGCAGAGACAAAAAAATAGAAAACATGCATGGACTTTGAGAGTTGATCTAGGAAGTCCAGCAAGCAATGAGTTTTTGCAAACTAAAACTGAGAAAAAAAGAACACATAGCACAATAGCAGTAGAGGGGCCAGGGATATAGTTCAGTGGCACAGCACCTGCCTGGCAAGCACAAGGTCTTGAGTTCGACTCTTGATACCAAAAACAAACAGAATAGCAGTAAATTTAATAACAACACTGGACAATGAGAGATAAGAAGCATTGGAGTTCTGGAAAATTGTTTTAAGAGAAGATAAGGGATTGCTTTCAAATTCCAAGGGAAATGATTTTCAATATAGAATCCTATACCAGCCAAAAACCCCACCAATTATGACAATGGATTAAAAATAGTTTTAATAGACAAGAGATAAATAAATGTACCTATCAACTATGCTGTTATGGCTTGTGTCTAGATGTCCCTCCCAAAGCCTCTTGCAATCATAGGTGGAACTTTCAGTGGTGGTTAGATCTAGAGTGTGTGATGATGGGATTAAGAGTGTGTGGTACTAGATTAGTCTACTGATTGGTTTGCACAGTTCTGGGTGTGGATAATGGGAAGATGCACCTGGGTGAGTACTACCTGCCCTAAGGGCATGTAGCCTGGATAGAACATAAGGGACAGAAAGAGGGGTGCTATTGTCATTTGTCACTTGTTGCTTGCAGTTTCTTCGTTACTTTGCTGCTTTGCTCCCTTCTGCTCACCATGAGCTGCTTTTCCCTTTCCATGCCCTCTGCCATGCCACCCTGCCTTGGAGCCAGCCGACTCTGGACTGAAACTTCTGCAACCTGTGAGCCAAATAAACTTTCCTCCTTTAACTTTAGGTGTCTACTGCATCCAGCACAGCTCTCCAAGTCTGAGAGGGGCAGAAGATGATGAGAGGATGGAGAAATAAAGATAAGAGACAGAAAGCTGAGGTCAGGTGGAGCCCTCTCTCCGGGTGGGAGGACAGTAGCTGCTCAACCACCATAGTGCATTTATACATTTGGCAGGTGTTATGGTTTGTGTGTGGGTGTCCCCCCAAAGCCTCATGTGGCCATGGGGCAGGCTTTTAGAGTTTGATTGATTAATGGGTGTGAGAGCTGCACCCACCCTGGGGTGGATAGTTTGCATATGTAAGGGAGAGGAAAAGGGTGCTTGAGGCCATTCCTGGCTTTTGTGTTGTTGCCTTTGCTGTGTTCTGCTGCCATGAGCTGTAGCTCTCTGCCATGTGCCACTCTGCCTTATAATCTGCCAAGTATGGACCAAAACCTCCACAAACTGTAAGCGAAATAAACCTTTCCTTCCTTAATTTTGGGCGTCAGGTATTTTGTCCCAGCAATGAGAGAAAAGTAACCAAGACAGCAGGTTGATGTCATGCGATAAGCCTTTCCCTAGCAACTCATTGCTTTGATTGCCTTGAGTGCCTGGTGTTCTCTGGACTGGAGCAGCTTGTTCATGTGGCTTTCCCCAGGAGCTGTTTGTTCTTGGCACCAGCTTTGCTCCAGCCTCACATGTGTGATCAATCTCCAGCTTCGGCTTCTCCCTACATCTCCCCCATTGCTGTTTGTAGTTGCAAGCAATGAGCGATCAGCTGAAGTTGGAGAAGCTGTTTGGAGGACTCTGCAGACAATTTTCTTTCTTGTGATTATACTTTTCTGCTGGATGTTCAAGACCAAGTTAAAGTGAGACCTGTATTAATGTTTTGCTATCTATCAAGGTCAGCTAAGTCTCCTCAAGATTTACCTTGGAACCATGTATAGCACCTCTTACTTCTTCTGTCAGTGTCAGCCATCTGGATGAGTCACAGCCATTGCTTGACCAAGTTGCTTTCTGTGAAAGCTTGGGAGATTCCTTTTCTCCTGGTGACTGTTCTTAGGCACACTATACATTGTTGATCACTTTTCTCTGTGGCTTCACAACCTCCTTGATCAGAAGACCAGGGACTCACTGAGTTATAGGATGTCACAGCAGAGGTTCTCTTATATCCTGGATCCTCATTGACCTTAGAGGGCTAGGGCCAAAATATTGGCTGTCCTCCTAGCCCATCCATTTTTCTAGTTTTTGGTCTCCAAACTTCAGTTGTTGAATATCCAGAAGAAAAAGTTAATTACATTACATTGTAATTTTATCTGAATAGCAAGCACTTTGAAATACAAGGTAGAACCATTATTTTCAATTAATTGTGGACATTCTAGTAGTTGAACCTCTATAGAATGTCAACAGACAGCAGTTACATATTTTTACACATAAAATTTGAAATCAAAAGCTATACATGATATTATAGCATGACAATCATGATGACATTCTGTAGTATACTTAAATTTCCATTTTGACATAGCATAACCCTTTTAATCAATCATCTCTATCGAATATATAAGAAACTTTTACCTAACTTGTTATTCTTTAATGTATAGAAAACGTAATCATTTGATGATCAATGTAAACATCTTAATATATATATGTATACATATATGCACTTTTTGGTCTTTTTTTATTTGGTCTTTTTGAGGCAGGGCCTCACTATGCAGTTCAGGCTGGCCTTGAGCTCAATTTAGAGCCCAGGCTGGCCTCGAACTCACAACAATCCTCCTGCCTCAGCCTCCTGAGTGCTGGAATTACAGGCGTGGACCACCACGCCTGGCTCAATAATATATTTTAATAACAATTTTTGCGGTGTCTCCCATAAGGCACTGGTGACCACTGGGATTTTTCTATTAATGAACAAAAGCTGGGATTTTTCCCAAGCAGCTGCTCCTTTATTCACCAAAGGGAACCCTGACCAGTAACCTCTCCCCAGCCTAAAGGATTTTTATTTAATTATCATAACAATTTTTGACGGCTTGCAAGAAAACCAAATTTGATATAATTTTGACCAGCTGGCAATCCAGGTGGAAGCATGCTTTTTAAATCTATAGCCAAATTGTATTATGAACAAATGATCCAAAAATGCAAAGGAAAAAATGAAGAAAGAAAAATTGTTGAGCTCAAATAAAAAACAGCTGTTAATTTATTGGGCAAGTGGACAAGAAAGAAATACACAGTTTAACAGATTAGACAAACAAACATCTTACAAACAGAGGGCACTCAAATATATTTTTGATCGACTTGAGTTATAGTAACTCTTATAATTTTAGAAATTTATAATTATAAATAGACTAGTCAGATTTTTTGTGGCCCAGTTAGCAGAAATGTCTTACAGGAAAATTTGGAAGGAGAAAACCTTTTATCTATAATCAATATATATTTTTGTATTTTAATTTAGCTTAAGAATACTAGTAACTTTCATTTTGCTTTCTTTCACATAGCTTTCAGCTCTGTTATCTCCATATACTCTATCACCTACTCAGACCTTTGATTCCTATATTTGGTTAACATCTCCTGGGCATCCTGGGTCAATTCCTTCAATTGGCCCCAGGTCAGGTCTAGCTCCATCCTCCTCTATCAGCTGTGGAGCAACCTTCAAGGCATCACTGTCATACAAATGAGCATCAGCTTCTTAAAAGGTGGAATCAACCCCTTCTCTGGGTCTGGGTCCATGATACAGCTGGACAGCGCACTCTGGCACCCAAATAGGCCGTCCAGCGTTCTCTGGAAAGACACAAGCATACCCTCGACCTCAAGTCAATAGTGGGCCAGGTCCCTTCCATTGTCCAGTATGAAGATCTTTCCAAAGGACCCTTCCTAGTTTTTTTTTTTCTTTTACCTGATTGAATTGTCTTTCTGCTGTTGTAGTCCTATGCTTAGTAGGATTTAAAAATTTAATAGTATATACTGCCAAGTGAAGTCTATTATGAGGTGTAAATTTTGTAGGGAAGGATTCCCCCTTCTGTTTTTGTAGTTAAATTTTGAGTGTATGGTAAGCATGTTCAACAATTCCTTGACCTTGATGATTATAAGGAATTCCTGTGGTAAGGGAAATAGGAAAAATTTTACAAAATGTTTGGAAGACAGCACTCATTTAGGCTGGGCCACTGTCAGTCTTAAGTGTAGGGAAAAAACCCCTGTATCCTGTATTTTGTATTGAGGTACCTGGAGTTCCTCTTCACTGCTCCCACCTCTGGCTGTGGCCTCACTGCCTCAGGGGTGTGGGGAAGCTTCTGTGCTGGCAATGGCTCATCAGCCTGAGGAGAGAACTGTTCACCAATGCTTCGGTGGCAGTGACCAGGACAGGGGTCAGTGTTCACCTCACTGCTGGGGATAGGCTCCATTGTTGGTACCCCCTCCTTCCCAGGAGACACAGCAGTTGAGGCCTCTACAGTCATGGCTGCCACTTTTTTTTTTTTTTACAGAATTTTATAAAAGATTTATAGCAGCACAAAAAACCATACAACAGTTTCATATACAACTAATAAAATATATGCAGTGTCAATGTATTGAAAACTAAAAAAATTGATATAAGAAAGCAAAAAAGACCTAAATATAGATTTTTATTGATCATGAATTTGAAGCATGTATCCCTAAAGTAAACAACAATTTTAAAAAACAACAGAGTTTGAGAATTCACACTACCAGATATCAAGACTTACTAAAAAGCCATAGTGAGACAGTGATATGCTGGAACCTGCCTATTACCAGCTTGTGAAAGCCAAATGTTGAATTTTCAGAAGTTTTACCAGTTGGTTGTTGTCATTTTGGTTATTTGAAATTGTCTACTGTGGGAGTATTTTTTAAACAAAAATCAGCACCACACTACCCCTCAACCACTAGGAGCCTGCCATGCTGGGCATGGCTGTGCCATTTTAGGGAATCCCTCTGAGCCATACCACCACTACTGTTTGGCAGGGCTGTGGCAGGCCCTGCTGAAAGTTTCTTGGAATAGATTCATCTTCCACATTAGTTTTGGATTTACACTTATTTTCCCAGTGATACCCTTATCAACACTTTGTACAGATATTAGAAGGTTTTGTTGAAGGGAGAGGTAATGGCTATGCTGCCCTTACAGATGTAGCAGACCAATCTTGGGCAAAATGTCCCTCGCCTCCACTGCTGAAACAAGTAACCTTGTTTTTTTTCCTCTAGGTGGCGGATGAATGACTTGAGTGATGGTTGTTGGCAAGGTAGCCCCTTGTACATATGAGGGACCAATGTCTGCACAAATCTGAATCATCTGAGACAGCATAGTCTGTTTTTTATAGACTCATAAGGCCTCTTTACACTATTCACTTGTATTTTCAAATGCCAATTGTTGAGCAATTAACGTAAAGGATGACTTTATTTTATGAAGGGTGGAAATCTCAGCCTGTGATGCTACAAAATTTCCCTGAGCTGAGAAGGCAGGAATTGCCACTTGTGGTTCAGTTAAGGTTATTGGGGTGGTTGTTGTTCTGCTATCTTTTTCCTGCTTGGGACTTGATTATCAAATAGTCCTCCAAGCCAAATCCTTTGTGATCATCTCAACAAGCTTACA